AAACGCTTAGCACGCACTCCCTGTTGCCGGTTGATTTACAAACGGCAGATCACACGGAAGGGATTTCTACTATTCTCTGATTCATACGATAATGCGACCATTTATTCTAACTTTTTCCATGTTTCAATTTTAAACAATTAATTTTTCATGAAACGTCGCGAACGAGATTTCTAATGTTAACCTTTTGCAACTGATATTATTCATCCCAGCTACAGGGAATGTGTGGTATTCTAATTTAAATAACTTTCTAAGACACTCAAAAACTACATAGTTATTTGAGATTAAATGAAATTCAATTTTAGAGAAAATAAAATTCAGTTCTTCTTTTTAATCAATCCTTACCTTTCAATCATTTGTTTTACTTTAAAATTAATTCTTATTGTAATTAATGCTTTTCTATTAAAAGATTTAGAATTAATGTTTATCTGCCTTAGATAGAAGTATATAGTGTGTGTTATATAAAAGAAAATAATTTTCCTTCTACTGATAAATTAGTTCATTTTCAATCAATTCATTAACTATCACAGGGAACATGATAAAGTGCAGAATACCCGTAACCTTAATGATAACAGAAACCTGTTTCGAAATTTTCTCTATCGATACTATTTATTAAATCTATGCACCTAGCAAGACAAGTTGCATTTTTGAGTTTCTTGATGCGAAACTTCAAGGTTTATCAACCTTTTCGAGTTATCAGTCAGACCGAAACCACAAGGTACCATCAATTTCAATCGTGCTACAGGGATCGATAAGAGCTCCCACGATACCGTGTGCAATTTCCACTATCAATTTATCATTCGTATCGATAATAATTTTTCGAATACATTTTCATGTACAGTCTGTTATATTTTATCAAATTGAATAAAGTCTATGCCACTGTCTCAGAGATCCACCATCTGGAGGTTAAATTTGTCAATAAAATTCCACAAATTATGGCTAAAGTTCTTTTTGAAAAATTAGCTCCAAATATGAATATTTACAACGTGTTTAGTGGTTAATTCTAAGCTTTCTTTCTTCCTTTTTGGAAAACATTTGAGGTAATCAAATTTTAACAGGAATTTTTGATATTTACGTTTATTTTATTTTATTTATTTATTTAAAAGGACATTTTTTTGGAGTAAAATGATAATGATTAATAAGAGAAGATTTTAAAGAGACTGTACGCTGTATCTAGTGACGGAAACGCTTGGTTCAAGAGAAACGGACGGATATTAGGCCCCAATAACCCGATTCTCGTCACTTTATTCTCATCGTGCGTAGTCGGACACGTCGTTTTTCAGTGTTCTCCGGATCCCTCAGAAGCATACCAATTACTTATATCGCGCCGACTTGAGCGACTTCCTGAATTGCAGCAGCAAATCTTTGCTGAAACCGTTGCACAAGTCTGCAGTCTGAAATAAACGACTATTTTCTAGATACTAAACTACACAGGATGCTGTGAAATTCGTGATAGAAAAACTGAAGTAAACGGAAATTACCATTTACTTTTGTACATAAACGATTGAACATTAAATATTTCCTAATGGACGATTCTGAGTCATAAAGCGGTCGATCCGCTATTGATTCAAATTAGAAACCAGCCATCTTGTATTAAAAATATTAATGAAATGTTTATGTGATTATTTTCATCAAATTTTAAGCTTTAAATTGATATATCTTAAGTGGTATTTTATAATAATTTTATGTCATGAAATCCTGTTAGACTTTGAGGTGCAACGACCTGATAATAAGTCCACCAGTTATTCCAGAAATAAAATTTTTTAATTTTTTGCAATTTGTCCATTTAGATATTTGATAAATTTTTTAGCAATTGAATTATTAGCACAGGGATAATTATTCCCAATATGTCATTTCTGTAAAGAAGTCAATGGGGTGCTTGGTATCTTTCTGCAATTAGCTAGTTCAGATGTGATGCAATTTTTATTTTTCAAAGATAAAATATCTACAAATTGGATGAATTTCCTCTTTTTGGCTACTTGTTTCGAATGTGGACCAGACAAGAGTCCTTCACCTTTAACCCTTAACCATGTTAACTACCTCTCGCTTTCCATTTCGACTTCTCTTTCGTCAGCGATGAAATTCGCATTCCTTCGTTTCCAGATCGCTAGATAAGTGAGAGAACGCTTTATTTCGCACGGTAATTACGTGTCAGAGGCAGTGGCTGCTTCGTGTCGCCGATTCGAATGTTTTGAAAACATGATTTACTAGGTAAGAATGCATATTTGTTATCTAAGATATATGGATGTTGCAAGAAGGCAGTGGCGGTGTGAAAGTTGACTTTTCTGTGTGCATATCGTGGATTAAAAAAATAGAGGAGATTGTGAACTGTGATTAATAGAAACGACTGGCAAGTTGTCGAGAAAGATTTCGAGTGCATTTTTATTCTAACAATAGAGAGCATGTACAAATTTTAGCTAATTAACTGTTCACGGTTAATTATTGTTATGGAGGATGACTTGAAGTTGTTAAAGTTTAAGATTTCTGGCGACTAATTGTAATTAATGGGATATTAATTAATAATATATGATTCATTTTGAAAATGAATTTATTAAACTAATATCAATTAATATTGATCTTTGATTTGGATTTGTACTATATATTTCTCGAAAACCATTATTTAATCTTCTAATCAAAGAATTGAAGAATATAAGTCTATTGACTAATTACTGTTAAATATTATAAAAATTAAAAGCAACGTAATTAATGAAGTTTCGTATAGAAATCGTGGAAACAGCTGTGAATCGTGGAATTTCACAAATATGAGATTCTTCTGTGACTTTTCTTAACTCTGTTATATATTATCCATTTCTATGCGATGTCTAATTAAGAGGATAAAAAGGAGTTATCAAAGGATTCGATCCAATTAAAAAGTCATTAGGATTGTGTATATGTATTCTATTGTTTGGTTGACTACTTGCTTTCTATTTATTAAAAAGATGATATAATAAATAAAAATAATCTATCACCTGTAAAATATTAATAAATAAAATGTTTTAATTATTACATTGTCACTTAAGTGTTCCTATTTTAATTGGATATAAAACAAATTTAAGACTGGGTCATGAATGATCCAGCATCCACCCCTAGAGGCTAAATTAAAAGAGCATAAATATTTTGATGACTCACTATATGTTACGAAAGTACATGTCGAAATCGTGTTCTGGAGGGAACGTATTATACTACAATTACCTCTTCTTGTATAAGAAGAGCACAACCGCAGGAAAGGGATTAAACCGTAAGGAGAAAGAAATTGCACTTTCGAATGCAATAAACTGCCAAGTAATTTCGTGTGCAAGACTTGTGTTGAAGAGTGTCGGTATGCAACATACAGAGGGTGATCAAATTATTACAAACAAATGGAAAAATGACATATTTTATATTTTCAACATCATCAGAAGTTAACCCTTTCATTACTAAGAATAATTATAGTTATCCAACGTGAAACGTTTATCTGCTTTAAAATACATAATAGGCATGAAATAGAAAATTAAAAATGACAAAAGCAAATATACTTTTAAAGAGAGATATTTTATTGCAAAGAAAATTATTTTATTTATTTAATCAGTGTATGTGCTTTGTAATTAAAAATGTATCAAAGTGTATTTTTAATTCTACCCTTGATCAGATGTCAAGTGGCTGATGATTTCGAAGTGTTCATAATAACTTGATCACCCACTGTATGGAATAGGGGAACACAAAGTGTTCTGCACGCGACAACACCTGTCACGCGCTTTGCGTTTCGCGAGCATGTAAGCGATTAACATCTACCTTCGCACGTGTAATTTTCACTCTGGAAAGTTGACGTTTCACCGCCGTGGGTGATGTTCCGAGATGCAACTTTGTCGCGATTTTTCGCCTTGTCTTTAAGTTACCACGTCGTTCAAACAGTGATCGCCGGAGGCCAAATGCATTGTAAAATGCATTTTGCTTGTACAACCTCTGACAAGATACGACTCTTCTGTAATGAGATACACTATCCAGGTGTTTCAAACACATCAATTTCTTTTTATTTTATTAAAGTTTCAAGGGAAAAATTCAAACTCTTGATAAAGTTGCTATGAAGATGGGATCTGTTATATGAAAAGGCTGCTTAACATGAAGATATTCCTTGAACGCAGTTTTATATTATCCACCAAGGAAGATAGTGTAATTTATACAATTAATTAAGAATTATTGAATAATTTATAAAAGAAAATTTTATGTATATGAGAAGATAATTATGTGATTAACAAAGCTGCAATTGTTATTGGTGAAAATTGATAAGAAAGAACAGTTTGTTTATTTTCCTAATAATTTCATTTAACAGAAGGTGCAATGAATATCGTAGTTATATAAATATACTCACGGAAGAGCGATTTTAATAATGAAGTTTATTACCCAATATTTCTGTGCCAGATCTTCTTATCTTCACGTAAGCAAAAGTTATAGTTTATTTCAGTTTCCATCAACATCTTGTATATACAATATGAAGCAATGTATAAGCAGATAATGAGAATTTATACAGAGTAATTTCCTTACGATTTCTTATTGTTGCAATAAGATGCTGTTCATTTATACCCGTTCACTCGCTGATTTGCTTGTTGCAGTAATGAAAAGTATAATTAACATGTTTAAAACATGTAACGAGATGTTATTGAGGCATATATTTCTATTTTAACGAGTTCCTAATCCTTGATTATTCGCAGTTGGAGTCGTATAACTGTTTCTATATATCGCTCGAAAACTATACATAATATTACAGTAATTCAGGTGTTTTGAAATAGGTGATTCCGTTTGAAAAATATATAATTTGAAAAATTAAAGTCGGATTGCAGAAATGAAATAAATTAGAAACTCGGGTAGCAATTTAGTTTTGGAAAGCAAAATTTTATGAAAAAAATTTCCTTTTCATTTTTTTCCCCCCACAGAATTGGCCCTTTGAAGGTTTAATGATTAAACTCGGTTTTATTAAAAACAAATTATGTGAAAATTTAATTTTGAAATTTGTTTGATTGTAACAGTGTGGCAGCGGCGGAGGGTCGACGGAGGGGGTGGTCGGGAGCGTGAGTGGTAGCGGCAGCGGTGGTAACAGCAGCAGCGGCGGTGGCATGGATTGCATGCCCATACGGCCGGGTCCTTTTCATTACTTGATAAGCGAGCAGGCTAAGTCGTTGGTGGCCCTGCAGGAGCTGCAGAATGAGGTCGGCGCCCTTCTCGAGTTTCGGGACCTCGTCATCGAGACGTTCCCAAACCTCCGGCACAAGATGGCCGCGACGGCGTCCGCGGGAGCGTCCGTGATGTCCTCCTCCTGCGCTCAGAATTCCCACATACCGTTGCCGCTGTCCAGTCCTTCATCCAGAAGGATCAACGAATGGGAGCCGGGTAAAGTACGGAGAAGAGTTCCTCGAGAGGGTGGCGAGTCTTCGTCGTCCTCGTTGCCCAGAAGTCGTAGCAATTCGCACAGCGGCGGAACGAAGAACAACTGTAGCGCCACTGTTCAGGATTCCGGCTTCAGCACCGAGACGTCGTCCAAGGATAGCGCCTCGACGGCCATAGCACCTAGACCGAACAGTCCGAGGCCGACCGTGCTGGACGAGGCTGAGGACGAGTTATGGAATCTCCTGGACGTGATCCATCGCAAGGGAATTAGGCTTAGAGAGGAGGTGGAGTGTCTTCAGGGTCGATTAGAGAGCGTGGCAACCGAGGATCTTGGCTCCACGGATATCTTGGACGCGGTGAGGAAAATCACCTGTCTGGACGACGATAGAACGGCGACGGTGCCCACGGAGGATATCAACAAGGATGAGAAGGATAGAGATTCGCAGGTGATAACGCTCAGAAGGGAGAAGGAACAACTGCTGGACAAGGTGGCCGAACTCGAGGCTGAAACTATATCGAGTCGGGCTAGGGCGCAGGAACTGCAGTCAGAGTTAGCCGCTTTGTCCGCGTTGAAGACTGGTCTGGAGGATCGACTGAGGGCTGGACTGAACGATACTTCCTCGGACATCCTCGTGCCGGGCGCACAAAGACTGCAACCAATCGCGCCCGTTGTTTCCTCGCCGAAGAACAACAGTGTTAGCAATATTAAGAGTAAGTCATCGGCTTTCGCGTCGGTCGCGACGTCCGCGAAGGCTCACAAGAGCCGTTTCCGCACGAGGACCATCGAGAAGAACGTCCTGCTCGACGTCACCGCGCATAACGAAGAGCTGAGGGACATCGACGTCGAGGCGAGCGTGAACGAGAGGAGGGCACGTTTGGGAGCGTTGGATTCCGTCCTTGTGTCGCCGACCAGGGTGGCGAACGTCAAGGACGTCGACTCGAAGAAGATCGCTGCCATTCTTCGGGAACGCTCACCTCTCGAACTGCAGCGGCATTTGATCACCACTACCGTCCATAATCAAGTATGTATACGAAAACTATGAATTGATCGAATATATTAGTGAAGGATTAAAATAAATTACAGACGTCTTGAAAAATTAACGAAAGTTGTTACGAATGATCTACTGGTAAATTGCAGGTCCTACAGAAAAGGTTAGATGAAGTAGAAAAAAGCACAGAAACTCTGTCGGAACGATTAGACAAGGCACGCGAGGAGAACGACGATCTACGTTTCCAGGTAATGCATTAAAATTTTAGGATCCTTTTAAGAATAATTGTCAAGGACACGATGCAAATGATACAACGCGTATTTTTAGCTCGAAGAAAGGAACATCGAGCTGGAGGGTACTCGAGCACGCGTGCGCGTGTTAGAGAGACTTCAGCAGCGGCCGCCAACGGAAGGAGATCCGGAGGTGGACGCGGATCAGCCAAGATGCGAGCAAAGCGGTCTCGAGCCTGGAAGTAGCACGGAATCGGCTCGCGATCATCATCAAGCGGTCGAGGTGAAACCATCACCCCGACGGCGTCCTAGTCGCATACCTTTGCTGGGTGCCAGTTCGAAAACAACGGCGCCCAGACCGCCAAGCCACGGAAGGAACGACAGCAAAGAATCATTGAAGTCGTTAACGAGACCTCCGCGTGATTCTAGTCGCGACAGTCACGGTGGAAAGTCCCTGTCGAAGGCACGCGACTCGAATCGTGACTCTCTCGGCAACAAGAGCTTGACGAAGAACAGCAACAACAATAATAACAACAACAACGGTAGCAGTAACGGGAACAACAACGGGAACGGAAACAGCAAGGAGACGAACAGGGAGTCCCTGAACAGGTCCCTGCCGCGTAACAATTCCAGCCGAGACTCCTTAAATAAATCCTCCTCGCTGTCCCGAGCCCGAGACTCGCTGGAGTCTAACAACCTCGGCACGTCCTCATCCCCGGGGACGACTCCTCCTCGACGACCGCCCGCTCCTGCACGCCGTTCCCACAGCTTGGCCCGCGCGGCAACGTCCGTTGATACCGAGAACGGCAAGGTACGATCCGTAAAGCTATACTGGCTAAACTGGCTGAAGTCACCGTTGTCCAATGGCCAGATCTAGTAGAGAGTCCATCGTATCCTCTTCACCAGGACGGTCGACTAGTCGCTGTTTAGGGATATCTGCTGCTTCTAACCGCGCCCTCGTACGAAGTCATGCCTCAAGGACCTCTTTTTAATATCCTCCAGTTTCGACACGTAAACGTACGCGGATCGATCGAACTGTCCCCTGCTAGTGCCTACCATCGTTCCTACCATCGCCAACGTCACCGGGTACAACTTTTCGATCCAGCTAAGCTAAGCGTACGACTTGTAATTCGCCGTGTCACGCTGTTCACGATCGTTCTTTTTTGAATCACACTCTATCTTTCGTCGTTCTCTTTGTGCGGTTCCTGTTTCCATCTTCAGTAGCTTTATTACCGAGATGGATAACACACACTGTCGATCGTAGCGTAAACTGTGTCTGGATTTTTTTTTTTTTTTTTTTTTTTTTAATTTAATTTTCTTGAGATCGTTCGCGATCTAACACACTCTTCCCTACGACACGATCATTTCTGATACAGAGTTACTGAAAACTCTGACGCACACAGAGACCTCTCGACCGACGCTTGTCTTAAAAAATACGACCAATCGCCCGACGATCCACTACCGAAAATCTGTCTGATCTGGAGCGCAGGCGAGCGTGCGTTCGAGCCCGTCCCCGGCGGTCCAATAAAGAAAATGGCCCCTTCTCGCGTGCCGCCGGTTTTTCTCGTAAGTTATGCTTCTTTTATTATCATTTGCTTCGATGCTTCTTCCTGGATGTGGTGAGCTATGAGCCTGTTTCTTATTTTATTTTTCTTTCTTTATCCTGATATTCCTGTTTCTCGTCAGTAGTACACACGTCAGTAGTCGTTCCTCCCCTTTTTTTATATTCTCTATCACTTGGAGTTTGGCATGCGCACGCACCCGTAGTGAGCCTCCCTGTAATATCCATTTCAATTGACGGAAATGTTCCCTTGTTTCTTTCTTTTAATACACGAGTAGATACATCACTGGTCCGCGATTTTTAACGCATTTTATCATATAGAGGGGTATTTTCTAGGTTTCTGATAAACGATTGAATACTACTTCTTATACTATGCTATGAATAATTTTGTTTTCCTGCACAATGTCGATCTCAGTTCAATTATTTTAGTAGTTTATTTGCAAAGAATGCATGCGGATGGTACACAGAGTTACGTCGAATTTTGTGAAAGTATAAATGAAAGAAATTGAACATTTTTTGAGATGAATCGCAAAATTCGACGAATGATCTAGTCAGAAAGCGAACATAGGGGAATACTTTTTTTACTTATCCGTCCGTTTCCTTCACTATCCATTCCTGAAACGCGTCGTTATCGTCGTCGCGAATTCAATGAACAGAGAAACGAAGAGTACCGTTTAAAAAGCGCACTTCGTCCGGTATAATGTTAATTTTCACATTCGTGTTAGAGGAGATCACTTTGTTTTCTTGAATATCCATTAATCTTCTAGTTTTGTTTGCTCTTTTTTCATTTGCTGAAGTTTGATCTTATTTGCTAGCGTTGCTTGTATGCGGACATAGCCTCGAGAGCCATGACGTGGCTCGGATTCGCACTTATAATGATTGATGTTAAGGAAAATGAATCGACCACACGCTTACCTGCTTGGCCTTGCGGTTCATTGTCCATCTCACGTCCAGTGCTACGTGATACTATTATACAAATTAAATGCCACTTTGAATTTTTCTTTTTAATACGCTCCCTCGGAGTGTAATTGATGTTTGCAGTGACGATCAGAAGTTCAGTCGTTTTCTTCCATTGAACGGATATACAGGATGAATCACTTAACTTGATCACCTTAATTATCTTTGCTATTCGTACCAAAGTTAGCTGGCATCGAAAGGGTCATAACACAGCAGTAATAATTAATTTTCTAAATGGAAGATTTTGGGAGATTTTAAGGTCAACTTAAAATATTTTTTAATTACCTATAATTAGGTATTCTATTAGTGCCATTATTAGGAATTACACCAGACACCATCAGGAATTCAGACGATGCCCAAAATTTAAAATAATGACGTGTTATAATTTTTATTGATTGATTTTTTTTCTATCGTAATTAACGTCAGAAGTAATTGACCGTGACTGCAAAGATTCGCAATTAGAATTAACTCAAACAAATAAAACGTACCCTACACAAATTAGTAGCACATTCGACAATCATTATCATAAAAAAGTATCAGAGAAAGGTATACGAGCACTGATCATTGTGGGGTTTGTGTACTATGCCTCGGAGGAATCACGTACAAGCTGCGTACAAGTCTCGAAGCTGAGTTTGTTGTATTTTCATCAGAATACAAGCAGCAAGATTCGTGAGAAATATTAACGAAAATTGATGATTTCCAGAGTTGCACCGAACCACCGAGTTCCTGGTGTTCAACGAACGGCAGCTTCCGACACAGCGACTCCTCTTTGTATCCGGACTCGTTAAACCAGGAGACGTCATCGTTGACTGGCACCACAAAAGTGGAATTCATCATCGGCTCGCCGACCAGACGATTTCGACAAAGCTCTGTCTGGCCACATCGTTATTTCGACAGCATAGATTCCGCGGCCATGTTAAACGAAAGTCTTTTGACCGATGAATTTTCGCTTCGTCGTGGCGAAGCTCTCGCCGAGTGCGATTCGCTCGAGTGTCAACCGATATCAAACGAGAGCTGAGCCACCGAGTTTAGCGTTTGCCGAATCGCGTTATGTTTAAAGAATCTTGATATGCGTTATTTTCTTGAATGGAATTTGGAAAATTCTTTGTGCTCGAGCAGAGGACGGTATTGAACGATATTGTTCTCTTTAATTACTTAATTATCTTAATTAATATTCTGAATAAATTAAACTGTTTCTGGATTATTATGAGGAACGTGGGACGCTCAAGCTCTACTTAAAAGGTAAAAATTATTGCAAGATGTAGTGAAAAATTGAAACATTTTAACTAAGGATGATAGGATAACTTTATTCAGTAATCTATAAATTAAAACATTAGCGAATGAAGTTATTAGTGTATCTAATATAATTTTTATTAATCTGACAGAGAAGGGGATATACGAGATGTAGGTAATATTTAATTCTCTTAATACAATAATTGGAAGATAGTATTCTGTAGTAATAATCAGTATTGTGGAAACTAAAAGAAGAAAATAGAGTTGACTTAATTTGTACATATAACGAGAAAGATTTATAGATGTATTAAGTTTGAATGAATTGATAAACAGTTTTGAGAATCTAAAACAGAAGAATAAAGAATGTATTTTATATTATTTGGATAGGCATTAATTTTAATCTTTGTGATATTTACAGATGTATGCTTAGGTTTTACTCTCTGCAAATATTCACAAACATTGTGGATCCGAGTGATTGGAAAATATATAATTTTTCATAATTTGTTATAAAATTTGTACAATATATTAGCGAAGAATTATGTACATAGCAGGTTGAAAATATCGAAGTGTTTGAAATTCAGTATTCAGTTTTTAAAAGTAGGCATTATTCGAAAATAAAAAACAATCTTTTGTGTCGTTCAGATTATTTATATTGTTCGAATTCTTTTAATTTTAAAAATTATTAAAGACAGGTATGCAGAAAGGAAGCAGAAATATTTCACAAAAGAATAAATTGAACCACTTATAAAGGAAACTAGATAAAGAAGCATAAATTATAAAAAAATATCAAGATTCTTTAACATATAATAAAGCTTTTCACTCTAAGGGATTAAAACAGGGATTTACATAATCTTCTTTTCAGCATTTTTAAAAAAATCTTATTTTGCATTTTGTGTGCATTTTTATCTTACAGATTGTTTTGTATCCATTTTACGTATTTCAGACGCCGTGGAATTGTATCTGTATGTTTTTCGACTTAACATCTAACAAAACGTTTGCTTTTATTTGTTCAAATATCTTAGATGTTTGCATTATAGAATGGAAGATTAAACATGATACACCGATGTGTGTTCATTTGCAGTACATTGATGTGTAAAAGTTTCGAGTGAAATTTTCTTTGTATCCTTTTTTTTAGCCTTTCGACGAATGAATTTAACTTTTAATCGATCCGGTTGAAATCATTGTAATCCGAGATAATGGTTGTGAAATTTACTGTTTTCTCAATTTTTTACTTTGCTTTTTTTGTTATGAATGGAGACACTGTCGGTGAATGAACAATAAAAGTCGAGGATATTTAAGTACACTTTTGATCAAACCGTTTCTATAAATATCAACTAATAATTTAATGCATTACCATTCTCATTGCAATGTATAATATTTCATAACAATTCGTTAGTCATCTATATTCAAAAAGAAGAAAGAAATGGTTATTTTCAATAACGTGCAATTGTTTCTATGAATTAAGCGTTACTTATATGGATTTATAATATTAATTTATATATTATCATAGTTATTTGATACCTTGAAAAAAAAAATTAAGAAACTGTATCAGCCTTCAATTTGAAAATGAATAGAAATATTTATTACAGATTATTAAAATATGATACATTTTATTTTGCGAAGAAGATTCTACGATTATTCGTTACAACTGAATATATAATATTGATATATATTAAAATCGAAAATTATTTCTGTTGAAATAATTTCTTTAAATGATTTCGTTTCATTATTATCATTATTATTATCGATCCAATAAGTATTCGCTCAATTTTGATGAATTTAAAATGAATCTTTTCTGATTATGTAATATAGAAAAAAGAAAAGCAATCATGTATACTTAAACTTCAAGAATGAGTTTGTTCGACAAACTTTTGATTACTTGATAGTTATTTCCAATCGACCGTATAAATGAAGTTTTCTTTTTAAATGTATATTTCAGTGCATGTTATATTTGTATCTTTATATCTTAAGACTGCACCTATCAGCTGATATGATAATTGTCTTTGTTATCGTCGAACTGTCATTTTTTTTCTTTTACGGAACTAACTACGTATCGGTATAATGAAATTAATTTAATATTTATAGCGTTTACACAACAAGAAGAAATGATATTACGACCGTTAGCACATTCCATGCTGCAAAATCAAAGATTAACAATCTTGTATTCCACGTTAGCATTTTGTACCTTTCGTTAAAACTTGCGTTGTGATTAATGTAACTTATTTATTGTGTGCGTGTGAAACGTAATTCGATTTTGTACGTACTCTCATCGTCCTTAACGAGGGACATTCGTGGAACGTCCCTTTCGAACAAAAATAAAATATATCCCTTGGGACTTTATCTACGAGTTTAAAAAGGGGAAAACGAGACGAAATAAACATTTGTGTGGGTGTAAAGATTGCCTGGAAGCTTGTTTAGAATCACATATCACGCGAACTGCCATAAAAGAAAACCGTATCTTCATTCGTATTCATCAATTCTAGGACTTAACAAGCTGTCGGATGAAAAATCCAAAATCGTAACTCATCTCTAAAGATATTCAAAGCATTCCTTTCTAAGAAACATTTCTTCTGTCAAGAATTTTTACTAACATTTTATATGAAGTACATCGTTCCCGATTTTGTATGTTTCAAGGAATTATGAGGTGAATTTTAGTGACATGGATTTACATTTTCCTGGACCAATTTAGTGACTGGCATCGCTAATTAGATGTACAATAGAAAGATATTAGATTGAATGGTATTACTATTGTATTAGTAACGCGAGGTAGCGAATTGGAAGTTTGGACATTGAAATTTTAATTATTTGAAATAGGAATAGTTAATTTTTGAGTTTCAAAGTTTTAGATTTCGAACGTTCCAATTTTAAGCCTTGAAACTTTGAAATTTCAAATTTCAAGCTTCCAAATTTCAAGATTAGAAAATTTTTATTTTCCACTCGACATCAATATTATTACTATAATAGTAATGCTGTCTAATTCTTCTTTTCTTTCCTTCTACTAATTACTCAGTTACATTGCATTTGAGGTGTCATAGCAATCAATATGTTAACTAATTAAAATATCAATACCTCTTACAAGAACTGTCTACTTTCTCTTCGGCAATCAACATGCTAATGTCAAAATCTAAATAAATTGTTTCTTTAAGAAAATTATTTCAAAACTAACCGAAGTCCTTCGAAAGAATAGAGAGAGAGAGAGAGAGAGATACGTATGATAGCTGATCGAAGAATAAAAAAAAGTGAAGATTAATAAAAAAGCGGACGTGATTTTAATCCTAAACGTAGCATGTTTGATCTATCGTTAACGACTCGACGAAACACTACGTACCACACAGTTCCTTGCTTCAACCAATTTCGTTATTTATACAAAGAGGAAAAAGAAAATGATGAAAAAGTAAGGGAAATATAAGGTGGCGACTACGAGAACATCGAGCTTGCGTTTAATCACGTAATCAAATGTAAAGAAAGAGAAAATGCGTGATACTTGTGATCAACATATAGCCGAGTTCTCGTATAGGACTGACAGACTTTACTTATATATATATATATATGTATATTGTATTATTGTTTTAGTGCCTAACTATTTTTATGCGACTAGAAGATACCAAAACCGAAACAGTGCGTGACTTGTCGCGACGATAATGGTGGTTTTCCTTTTTTATTTCTGTCGTCGCGATTCGACGAAATGAAAACGAATATACAGGATGTTTCATAAGACGTGGGATCAATTTTAGCCATAACTTATCAATACAAAATCAATGAAAAAATTTTTTATTGAATTTTTTATCAAAAGCCCCATCGGGGATTTAGGTACTTAACCATTGTTCTGTTAGAAATAATTTTCAATTGCAGTTTATTCAACTTAATTTTGAATTAAAGTTAAATAAAATTCTGATCCCCCATTAGTTAGTCTTACCCACAAGTTACAGTATTTTGTCTCTTCAATAAATTTCAAGAAATCTTTTAGTTTATAAATAAAATAATTATTCAGAAATAGTGTTTCCAGCGGCATCATAAATCTAGCACAAATTGTAACTCGATAATTCCTATTAGCTGTAAGTAATATAAAATCTAGATCATGATTGACCCAACCACCATTATTCGAGGGTTGAAATGAATTACACTATAAACTTTCAATTTATCATTCAGAAATATTAAAATAGAAAATGGCCACAACTTTGAAGGGAACTCAAATAGAATACATATTTGTATGAAATTTTTTCATTGGTTTTGTCCTCTACGTTGGTTATTAAAATGATTCTTATGTGTTATGAAATATACTGTGTATATACGAATGAAAAAAATGCTCAGATACCAATAACGAACGTTCGTGCACACAGCCGGCGGACAAATATCGTGTGCCGACTGGAGGCTATTATTTTTATACCTTTAATTAACGACTGTGAGAACGAGAGCGAAGAGAGTGTTGTGAGCGTACCGCGTTTGACGTTAGCAGCTTCCTTTTCTTCTCGATGATAGTGATTTTATCGTCGTTGTATTATACTTTGATTTCTAGGCTTACAGAGTCGAGCCAAGCCATTAAGCTCGGTCTCGTCGATGTTGGAAAAAATTTGATCGCACCAACTGGACGATATTTGTATATGTACATACGGTACGGCATTTGTGAATTATTTAAAAGTTAGATGAAATGTACAGGCGAATCTGTGTAACGATATCCGCGACAATGTGATCCGATTAATAAATACGATATTACGTATTGAGGACAGTTTTTAATTTTCCTATTTGTAATATTTTTAAATTAGATGTTCGGTAATAAGCAACATATTCGTAGCTTTTAATTGCATGTAATTAGTTGTAACTTTCGTTATGGCATAATTTTACTTTTGTTACGTCCAAAGACCGAAAGGAAAAGTTATTTTCAATTTCGTTTTGTGATTTATGTATATATATTTCCAGAAAATCAATTTGACCTATCTTCAGGTTATTAATATTTATTTTCACGATATCTTGTCAGGTGATACGTTTGACATGTATTACATTTAAATATTTATCAAGGTTACTTTTATTTCGATTATATAATCTAGTAAGTATTATAAGGATTTAACAAAATTAAAACTCACCTCGTTTGAAATAGTCTATTATTCGAGTACGTTTTATTTATATTTACAATTTAATTTCAACCTTTTCTCTAACAATATTTATTAGTTAATATAATATTTTTACATTTTTATTATAGTTTGAAAAATTTTAATCAAATACCTCCAATTGGCTATTTCAAATTACAAGTGTAATTTTCTTGGTATTTAAAATCTGTTCTTTTTTTTCCATTTCAAGTTGAATTGAATTCATAGTAATCAGTATGATACATCTTCATATAGCAATGAAGTACATGTTCACCTAGATTGCTCAGGGGTCAAACGCGGCCGACACGAGGTCGTCCATTGAAATTCAACTGACTTAACCCGTCATCGTTGGAAGTCCGGGTACGAAACTTCCGGATACTTCATTAACGGATAAAGAAGGGGAAGGACCTTGCAGAGTTCTAAGGAACTCGTGATATGGCCGACAAGTGAGGCTAACCGAGACCCGCTGTGAAACATTCTTTATTTACCTGTTCATTCTTTGCCCATGATAGGTCCTCAAGAGAGAAACACGCGGAAAATGCGAATCAGGACGAGGAAGAGGAATATGATCCTGCCGCGCATCGTCCTCCGGGACCGTTGACTTCGTAGGAACTTATATTTCATTTTTACTTTGTTCGTTTTCTTCTTTCCTTTTTTTATTAGAATAACTTGATATTGCAAAATGCATTGCTTCTGCAGAAAATGAAAAATGGAATTAAATTGTTGTGTTTCTTTTGTTTTTTTCAAAAACTGGTTTGACTTAGATTTATTGACAAGTAGAATCATAGCTAAAAATACCCAAATGCCATTGTGGTCATTCCTCATTATTCCTAAATATGTCTAAAAATTTCGACAAACTTTATTCTGCAAGGTTAAAAATATTAACAGTGTATAACTTGTTATGCAAATAAGACTGAATTTTGTCAATAATCTTTTTGTAGACATAAAAAGAAACACAAAATTATATGAATCATTGGTTCCATGAAATATGCGATTATCGAAGTGCTAAATACCTGTTTTCAAAGTTCCACTTTGATAAATTATATTTCAGTTCAATTTTAAATATGGATTTCTTATTAGTATGCTATGGGAGCTCTGAACGTTTCTTATCTTGTAGATGAAATCGAGATCATGTACCGGCTATTTCTTATGTCCTCTAACTTTTCCAGTAGCTTGAATAACAATATTACTTTATTACTTGAATTTGACTTGCAGTAGACTCTCGTTATATTGTCCTGGATGGGGTGGAAAATTTTCTAAACTTCAATTTTCAAGGGAAATAAAATTGTATCAATTTTGTAGACTATGATGGTGAAAAAGCAGCAAATTTGTATGAAAGTTAAATCGCTCACGTGACAATATAACGAGAGTCCACTGTATTTAGTTGCTAAATCCATATTTTAACCCTCTAGGGATAGAACCGAGTCAATCGTAACCCAGACCTTCGAAACAACAATATATTTACTAAAATTATACGTACGAACTTTTAATTAGAAACGGTTCATAATTAGTATAGAACGGCTACTACAGGATGATCACATTATAGCATTAATTAAAATTAATATTTATTTTATTAATTTCACATCACTTATAAAATCTTACGAGATCTGAATGAAATTTATACGAATCATATACCCACATTATTAATGTTCATTATCGATCATTAAAATCATTAATTCATTCAGCTTTAGTTTAGCAATTTAATGTCACAAACCGGAATCGTCAGATTTCACAGAACACGCAGAGACCTTTGAATTGACCTCATAAACAAATTTCAATGTAGCTGATGAAACAAATAAATTGATTAATTATTGATCGATTGGGAAAATTCGTTTCAGAGACTTCGCTACGTTGATGCATTTATTGAAAAGCGCTCTCGGAAATGGGATACTATTTTTGCCGAATGCATTCAAAAGAACTGGCTACGTAATGTCATTAATCTGCAGTATTTTTATGGGTCTGTTGTGCACGTACATGGTCGTGCTGTTGGTAAGTAACTGAAACGTAACAGGAAAAGGAAAGTAGGGACTTTAATAAGAATTAAATGACACGGTTGCACAAGATATTATATAATTAAGGGAAAATCGTTTCAAAGGTACCATGAGACAGAATTATGGTGTTTGAATAATTTTTCTTTTTACATATTTTTTGTATCATCATATCATAAAATCTGTAGGGTAGTTTTCACCCCTGCGCATGGTAAAAATTTCTTTTTATTCAAACATTTAAATTTTACTCATACAAATGAAGTATTCTACTTTAGATTTAACATAACACTAGAACTACCGACGTTTAATGCACACTTATTTTTAAGTTGAAAATAATGTAGATTACTAAATTTACAAAAGATGAAACATAATTTAATATATACATCCATTCTTTATCGCGACGATAGCCATCATACATTTCAACCAAAATACCTCGATAAAATTTATAAATTAAAATAAGAAACTGAAAACCAGTTATTTTGATCCCTTTGGTAGTTCTCGTGTTAAAACAGTTTGTAGCACCTGGAACCTTATCTAAAAACAAGTTCTTTGAGAGCAGGTGCGATGCTCTCAGCTGTTGTGCAGACGTTATCACATACCGATGCTGGATTTCGCCAAAACTGTGGAAACATCCTTTGAAAGTGGTCCCGAAAACATTCGAAAGTACGGGAGACAGTGTGGCATCTTCACCAATGTGATCGTATGCTTCGTGCACTGCCAGGCAGCCGTGATATACATTCTTTATGTGTCCAGCTCGCTTCAGCAAGTGAGGAACGAGTCGTAAGGTTCTTTTTCACTGACCAAGGCCTCTGAGATTGATTTTCTAAGAAAAACGTCAGCGAATCGACGATTTGAACGATACTGATCAATGCTATCCTTCACTGACGTGTTATTTTTGTCGCTTTTGAAGCTGAGGTCGCGTCTGAATTTTAAGTATACATGAAATATACAAATGTAATTTTTTTTAAACAATATTTTGTCGGTCATAAAACGTGAATACTATTTGTGTGAAAGAAGAAAGTATAGAAATTTCCTAAAATATTTCATACTTGTGCTATATTTTAACCCCCTTGCACCGTTTAACTCAAATTAACCCTAAATGGAAAGCTTAATAAAAAATAATGAAAGTTTTACATATGAAAAAATTGAGTGTAACAGCTAATTATAGATAAAATTATAAATTTGCAAATAATTATTATTGAGAAATTTATATTTAGAGACATATGAAAGCGTAATTAAATTCACTAGCGTTTATTATTACGTATAATGAATTAAAACTCATCATTAATTGTTGAAGTTTTAAAGTGAATTAATAATGGAATTTCCGGTTTTGAATGACGAAACGTTAAGCCTTGGTTTTTCTCCATTAAACGTATTTTACTTCAATCAATTCGTCGATGCATATCGAAAGGACGTTCTTGTGGTTACACTCTTATTCCTCCAGCATTTACGAAATCACGAATAAATAATTCTGGTAGAAGAAAAATTATAATTTCTCTTTTATTTAACGTTTAATTGTAAAAAACTTTATGTAATATTTTCTTCTGGGGAAGTTAGTTTGTTGATAATAAATATTATTCTTTTTATCTAAAGTGCAACTGATGCTGTTATCAGTCATTTTTTGTGTTTATTAAATTGTTTACCCTAAATTACATAAGAGATAACATTATACTATGTTTATAAAATTTAACTTGTCAAATATCGCGAGAAATTTTAAAGAAATTTTAAACACACAAATATTTCTTTTGTCAATTTTCAGATATTTATATTTCCTTAGAATACAAAATTCTTGTGTTCATTAATTTGTTTACACTGAATTGCATAAGAGATAGCATTCCACTTTATTCGGGCAATTAAACTTGTCAAACTTTGGGAAACGTCTTAAAGGAATTTTAAACTCATAAATAATTCTTGTGTCAGTCAAGATATTTATGTCTTTTAAATCAAATTAGGATTAACAACCTATGTTTAAAATTCTATATTACCTTTTACAAATAAAATAGAATGTAACATACAAATTATTTATACAGAAAGTAGGTCAACAACACAGAACATAAAATGATTTTTCAATAACATTTCGCTGGTAATTATCTAAATATGGCAAGATCAATTAAGTCCATTGATTAGTATTAGAGATATCATAGGTTCTGATTTTAATTTTTCTATGATTTTATTATTTTTAATATAAATTAGATAAAAAAAAGCATTCTATTGAAAACTATGCAATACACACAGTATACGCAAATTACTAACAATCTTATCAATTTTTCAGGTGATCGAGTACTTCACCGGGGTCGAATTGGACGTGCGCGTCTACATAGTAGCTGTTTTACCTTTCTTCTGCGGTTTTGGTTTCCTGCCAAATTTGAAGTACCTGGTGCCTTTTTCCTTGATCGGCTCGGTGTTCATACTGGTCGGCCTCTGTGTAACGCTTTGCTATTTATTGGAGGATTTTCCTGATCCTGGAAGATTGAAACCATTTACACGTGTTTTACCTATACCCTTGTACTGCACCATATTTATGTACGCCATGCATAATGTGACTGTATGTTTGCCTCTTGAGAACACCATGAAGAATCCTCGACATCTACCTTACTTGATAACCGGCAACATGACATTCATCATGTTCTTGAATGCGATATTCGGATTCCTTGGTTACAACAAATATATGGATGCCACCTGTGATACCGTGATTAAGAATCTGCCGATTGAACAAAAGTGAGTTACCATTTCATTATTCTATTAATACTTTGATGGTCGTATATTGAATTGGGGGAGGGGAACACTGATACTTTCTCTGGGGAAAGCATCTTTGCTGGATACTGTACATCGACTTCAAAGTACTAAATGCACGTTTATTTAACATCATATCATTTTCAGCAGAGTATTGCAATTGAAATTCTTTTATAAATGTTGGTATTTATTGTTTGTACGATGGGCTATGAAAGGTGATTCACTTCGCTCAATGACAATATATGAAACAATATAAAAGTATTTGTTCTTTAAATTTCTTTAATTCGAATTTGAATTGATACTTACAATTGAGACACGAGGCAAATGAGACACAAAGAAATTTTGTGCTTAAGAATATTTCAACTAATAACGAAACTTTGTAATTTTGGAAAAATAATAATCGTTCCAGGTTGCATTACGTTTCGGCTTCTTAAGCGACTTATCTTCCTCCTAATCTGAAGTTTCAATAGGAATTATCGAGTAAATTGAATCGCCTTATAAAAAGCACTATGCATACTTTAAAGTATTGATCTTTCAATCAGATCGACATAATGGAATTTAGAAAAAAGCATAAGTTAATATTTTGCAGTGATTGATAAGTTTCAAGTGCGCAAATTCTATCGCGCATGTACAAACCTTTTATCGCTAGTCTATGAACGTATTGTTTCAATGATAATGGTTAGACACTGTTTACTTTTACGTAATTTAACATTGCCAGTTCATTTTATCGTAGACGATAAACAGTTTGTGTAAAATGATATCATGGTTAACTGGAAAGGAGATTTGGAAAAAGATTCCATTTGTGTGATGATAGACTCGAATAGTTTCCTTATCAAACGCAGACTTTGTTTCCTGTTTAATCAGAGTGATTTTTAATTGAATAATTTAAGTGTTTGTTCATTCTCTCACGACTGCATATTTCGCAGAATCTATGACTCGAAAAGTTACAATTTTATATATTTTTATTTATACTTAATAGGGATTATTGATGGAATTATATTTTAAACCTTCAATTAGCGTACATTTCTTTCATAGTAATTTGAAGTAATTAATAATTTTGATGAAAAATTAGAAATGAAAAATCCTGTTTAATCTTTTGAGTCTGATATTATCGTAAAATTCTCTACGATTTATATAACTATTATTAACTATTTAAAAGAATTAACCATAAACCCTATAATCCCTTACAAAATAATTGCAGATATTATACTCATCAGTAGATAAGTAGTATCGTTTATCGTTTTAATTAATGATACAATTGTGTACGTTCTAATCCCATAGATTATTATAAAAATTTGTGAATTTTTAATAGACTTACATAAGATAGCAAATCACGAATAATTTTTTTAAATACTTAAAAATTTATCTAACTGAATGAACTAACTGTCATAGAAACGATTTACAATATCGAATGTTTTTCGAAAGCAATTCTCAAAGGATTGTTCCACACGTCGATTAATGAAATCTCTTTGAGTATAAATAATCGTCCTTCAATTACAACTGTATACGTTTATATCGTCATAAAATATAACAATAAAGAGGATGGCCTGAAATCCATGCCCTAGATGATCTTTTATAAAAGCAGATATCATATCGACGTTGCCTGTAATCATCTGATCTTATATTCAGACAGAACGTCATATACGAGCTATCTTGTGATTCTGATTTCAGTGAAATCATGATAGGACTGATCGATATCGAGGGATTACTGAAATTAATGATACCTACTTATTGCCTTTACTTTATTGACAAAAATTTAGATAACAAGGATTTCAGTAATCCCTAACACAATGATAGTCAAGTATACTTTGTATCCAGCACGACTTTTAATTTCTCTTCAGATGATTGATAAATGAGGAGTTTAGAAATTTGTTATTTGGAATTGACAAGCGATTATGTAAAATGTATTATGTGCCTTTGTGCCTTGCTTTACAGTAATTTTCCATTTACAGTATTCTTGGAACGTCTTTTTTGTGTTTTTTAATTCCTTTTTCCATTTAGTTTAAAAATTAACCCCTTCAAGTAGTTAAAATATTTTGGCAACTAGTTGACAATTAGTTTTGCTTCAGAATCAATAAAATTTTACCACAAGAAAATAAAAAATTTAACCCAGATAAGGGAAGAGGTTACCTGAATTCAAGTTTATTTGAAATAAATTTACAATTTATGGAATGGTAATAATTGTGTATAAAATTTGTGAAATATATTTATTTGCAATGCTTGAGAATTTCATCATCAATTTCAAATTTCATTCAATCTCAAATGAATCGTTCATTTATTTTTATAAAGAAATTTTATAATTATTGCGTTTCTTTGATTTATTAGATCCATGAGATATCTTATTTGTAAATATTACAAATATTTACTTTTATTTAGTGGCGTGATCATTATTTTCAAACTTTTAATTTCGTTCTTTTAGGCTTTAGAATTATTTGCAAATACTTGAAAATTTAATCGTCAATTTAAATTTCAGTTATTTGTATAAAGCAATCTTATATTAATTACGATTCTTCGATTAAGATCCATGAGATGTCTTATCTATAATAATTACTAGTGGCATGATCACTATTTTCAAACTTTTAATTCCCTTCTTTTAGGCTTTAGAATTATTTGTAAATACTTGAAAATTTCATCATCAATTTCAAATTTTAGTTATTTGTACATATAAAGCAATCTTATAATCGCGATTCTTTGATTTAGATCCATGAGATTTCTTATCTATAATGTTCACTATTGGCGTGATCACTATTTTTCTCGTGATCATTTTTAATTTTCTGTCTTTGGACTTTAGAATTATTTTATTTTATTGATCACAGATTCGTTAACCCGATACGAGTTTAAACGATAAAGATCCAATTTAATACAAAAATTTTCTAGTCACGGACGTCTTTCGTGTTTCTATTTAATTCTTTCTCTGTGACGAAATAACATTATCTTTGGTGTGTTTTCTATTCAATAAATCTTGTAATGAAGATTTCAGTAATTATAATTATTTTCTTTTTCTAAACGTAATTAACTGAAAGCAGAATTAAAAATAGGTTCACAATTTGCAGTATTTCATTTTAAGGAAATTGTAATTATTATTAAAAGTTCAATGAATAAACCTAATATTTACAACAGATTGCAAATGTATAAACGAGGAAAAAAATCAATCATTTTCCAGACGAAATGTCTCTACGAATGCAAAACAGAACTGTGGAAACGATACAATCTTTCTCGTATCGTGATGCCAGTCACAACAGTAATTCTTTATTACTAATAATCTGTACTGGTTCAAAGAATATAAATCAAGACGCATTGTTGAAGATGCAGTGTCATTAATTTTTCAACCTTGCGACATCTCGACAAATTGTATCGATTAATTTTTATGGTCATCGATTCGTCCGTTTTATCTGGTATGTAGGCCGGGTAAATGCGACCCTAGAGAATCTCAGTATCACTATTTACACGTGTTCATCACACGATCATTATCGTGTCAACTTCCTTATCTATCTACGTTTCATTATTTATATATAAGCACGTGTGCATGCGCTACATGCCATTGAACGTTCTCCACTTTTGGTTAATTTCATTTGAAATTAAATCTCTTCTTCATTGGCGCCTGTCGATGATCAATAATTGATCTTGATCGAAACAGACGTTCGAAGAAGCTGAAGAACCGTGTCTCGAGGCTTGAATCTGATATATAGATTCTCATCACTTATTTCGAGTACATTTTCACGTGACTTTGATGTCATGATTTTTGTCTAGCATGATATTTACTATGATATTTTTCTTGGACAAGTCATTTTTTGTGACCTACCTTAATTCATTAATTCTCAGAGATTGAAAATGTCTCATCTTCAAGATAGTAATACTTTATATTATAAAACATATTATATTATACATGGAAATAGGTAATTAAGTAATTAGTCAATTAATTAATTGTTACTGTTCCAGGCTCGCGCAATGGATCAAAATAATCATTTCTCTGTCCGTGATGTGTTCGTTTGGATTAGGTTATTACGTGATAGTTTCAATACTATGGCCAATGATCAAGTCGAGATTTGAAAATTATAATTACAGTGAGATAATATTTCGTTTTTGCGGAGTAATTGTACTCTGTAAGTGAGATTTTAATTATAAATTATAATATATCATGCAGGCTTCCCTCGCGAAAATAGAGGAAGCAGAAATTCTCGGAATCCTAATTTTGAAAATATTAATGTTAAAAGTAATTTAGAAATAAAATAACATAATTTTTAAGTATGAAATATTATAAAATTTAGTAAACAATTAAGAAGTATGAATAATAATATAAATATCGATTCAAGTTCTAAATATTTAAAATTTCATGGCTATCAATTAAATTCTCAATCCGGTATTTATGGATGGCGAGACTTTCCTTATAAACTTTCCTTAAATCTTGGGATTCCCTAAAGTTCCCTTCCACCTTCGTGCAATTTACATATTACATTATTCATTGATTTTAGTTCTCGTTGCCATCGCAGTACCAGAAATGGTTCCTTTGCTCGGATTTTTCACAGCCTTTAGTATAACCACAGGCATGCTATTGATTCCTATATTAACAGAGACAATGACAAAATGGCAAACAGCTACAAAGTACCTTTTAGCAAAGAATGTCAGTATTTCCTTCATCTGGATAACATTAATGGTAAGTATTCGACAGATAAATTCCATTTTATAATTTTAACGATATTAAAGCAATCGTTTATTTTCTCGGAATGTCAACGTTAAAATGCAGTTGCATCAGATTTTCAAAGTTGGTGCATTAAATTATAACGTTTCGTCATTAGGTCGTTTATTATCAATAGTTTGTTTTGTCTTTCATGATTACGCGAATTAAGCAACGAAGAAACATACCTACAGACTGTGTTGTACGCAATAAAGTGTTACATGTTGCTGAATTGCCTGTTTCTTTCAGTGGATTATAAAACGAAATGTGAAACACCTGTAATTTAGTTTTGCGTAAACTCGATTCAACGTTTAAGCGTATGCATAAATAAAAATTGCTTTGATATCGGTTTCACTTAGTCATTTCGTCATCTAACCACTGTTCTGGTCGACTCGTTGTAATTTAAAGAAAGAATTATAAGAAATTCTCTAAATCTCGTCTGAATTGGAAACATTACAAAATTGGAGAGGAAGTGATCTTTTCTAGTCGAAATAATTTAATAAATAGACTAACAAATTGGTGTACCCAATGTTAGAAAAATGATTAATTTTTTATTTGAAAATTTCTACATATAAAAATATTCTTATTAGTTTTCTTATTAGTTTAAATAATGAGGTTTCTATTGCACCAAACGCAATTTTAAATTCACACCCACTGAAATGTTAGTAAAATGAATTATTTCAAACAGTGTTAGAACTAATAAAAACAAGTGCACGAGAAACGTTGAAACGTTTTCTTAGCAATTACAGCTCATACAGTAATGACACTTTTTTACATATTTTTAATTGCATCGATAACTTACGATAATTTCTCAATATTCCCCACAGACAGTGTCAAGTAAAATACCTATCTTCCATTAAGATAATGTATTTTACAGAAAAAATGTTTGATTTTATGAATTTGACAGATTTTTGGAGCTATTGAAAGTATGCAGTCCATCATCAGGGAATATGGCCATGTGAAAGAGAAAGGCTGTTGACTGATTGTGAGTGTTAATTAGTGAAAATCGAAACTGTAAAATCAATTTTGCTGCCGCACCTGTTTCTGAAATTAATGAGAATTTTATAATGATTGTAGAAATATATGTTTCTTGCTATAATTTATAGATAAATTTTCGTTCTTATCATTCTTTGTTTTTTTATTATTTGTAATTGTAAGACTAACAAACCTTTTAAAAAAGCTAGAATAGGTGCTAATTATAGAAGAATGTGAGTAAGTAAAACATACATACACACAGACTTTTTATTTTGCTGCAAACAGCATTAATAATTTAATTAAAAAATTAAGAAAAGATTGTATAAACCAGATATGTAGAAAATTAAACAAAAATGCATTCGATGAAAACTTCATTAATACAGAATATGAAATTTCATTTTTTTTTATTTAAAATATTTTGTCCAATTTCATTTGCATGTTTATTAAAAACAGAAAACAGTATTTACTATCGTACAACGATATTTGCAACGGATACAGTTATATCCTTTTTCTGTTCACAGTAATGGGTTTCTGCGAATTAATGGAGATAATTACATCAGCATAAAGGAAAAACAAATTGTAATTGCAGAAGGAAGTTTTTGTGTAGATGCTGTGACGTTGCCAGAACTAGGAAAAACAATCTGACCAATCATTATAACTGCGGAATGTTATTTATACGATTTATTAATTCAGTATGAATGATTTATCGATTGTACTCATAATAATGCATGTGTACTAACTGTTCATTTATTGAAAATTAATTCATAGATTATCTTATATTTTAATTTTCAATATTTGTTTGACAGAAGCGAAAAATATAGGCGTGGAAACTTTAAGCGAAGTTTCTTATCGTTCTTCCATTTAGAACGCTTTATATGTCAAGGAAGGAACTCGTTAACAATTAAGATTTCTTTTCTTAACACTGTGTATTTGCTGCTGCTTATGATTAGAGGAGTGTTAGAATGAGTCATCAATGGCAATACATAGATTTCTATAAACGAGAAATGAATGTTATTTATGACAGAATTAATACGAAGATTTAAGGTATTCAATACGTTTGCATCCTAAAAGAAATTAGCACTGAAAGCTTTTAAGCGTTCACCGCCACAGTAGAAATAACCGTATCTAGTCAGACACGCGATAAGATAGATTAGGAAAGATATTACACATTAATTTCTTAATACGATGCTTCATTTTGGTATTTCGCATTATTACTGTAATTTTAATGTTATCCTAACGTTTCCATTGCTTAATTATTTAATTTAATTAAAGTAGTAGTGTTGATCACTGTCTTTAGGTATTTTAAACAATCAGAGGGTTGAAAAACTGGAAAATTCAGCTATAATTTAAACAACATCCTAAAAATCATAAATTTCATGATTTTAATGAATTTTGTATCCCTCCCAAGAAAGTATCTCTTAACAAAGAATCCAATAAAACTGCTAAATATGAAATAATAATTTTCTGGCTATTATTTTTTCTGTTACAAGAAAACAATGATAAAAGGCTCTGTATTCGTTGAAACTTTTATATCATTCATTTTTATATATTTTCTTGGAAGCACAAACAACTTTCAGATAAACAGGAAGATTTATTCTGTTTTGAAAAAATTGAAGATCTATATTTATCTCGCACTAAATTCCTTAAAAAAATAATTCTAACTTTTATATTTCAGTTTAAAGTGTTCAAAAGTACGTGATTCTTTATAACTTGAAATAACTTTTAAAACTGAATTCTTCTAACAGAGTTAAAGTGTTAATACGTTGAATGCCATGGGGTTACATATGCTTGAATAATTAAAATAAAACAATAGGAAAACATTATTTCAAGTAATATTGTTTCTGTACAAATAATGTAAAATAGCAAATAGAAAGCTGGAAATTCGAAATTTCAAAATTAACTATTCCACTGCGGCATTCACTGTGTTAATACTTTATTACCGGAAGTTTATTAATAGGCTTTTTCATAGCATCGACTGTTAAAGGAAAATCAATCAATAACCTTTTGATTATTACAGATTCACGTGTAACTCGTCAGTTGAAACAAGTTCCAAAATTTCAACATTTCAAAATCTCAATATTTCAAAATTTGAGTTCCAAAATTTCAACATTTCAAATCCCAATATCTCAAAATTGGGTCAATATTTATGGTCGGTGGATAATGTGTTAATATAGAAAGTTAACTAAAAATGGAAAAATAAAATTAGAATTTAACATCACTTAGACCAGATTTTATGCCACGTCTAATGATCTCATATCCCGTCCCATCTGTTTACGCGTAACCCCATCGAAACTGTGTACGATCGTCCCATGATTCATGCCTCTACACCACTTACGCAACGGTTTAAAACCGCGTACTAAGCGGAGACGAGGAGTCTGCACGATGAAAAAGAGCGTGGCCCGGGGAAAAGAGTTCAGGAGATCGGCGAGTCTGGTGAGGGTACGATCGTGGAGGGAAGGAAGCGAGGAAAACAGATGCGATTAGTGAAACGGAGCGAGATGGAAGGTAGGTGAAAGGAAGCGGGCAAGATGTTGACGGTGCGAGATCGGTAGGAAGCGGATCGCGGTGGCCCTGTCTGGCCGCGATCGTCGCGATGCTAAGGACGACTCGCGACCGTCTTCGTAAGCACGTCCGATAGAACTTATTAGGAGAACGGCCTCTATCTCCCCTCCCACGCATCGCGACGTCGATTCTAGCGAAACGCTGTTACACACGCGTGTATATATACCTGCGTCACGCCGAAAAAACCTGGCCAGTCGTGTGCGACGTCTATCACCGTCTTCCACGCGGATTACATTCCGTGCTGTCAATCACTTCCGACCACGACCGGGTGCCGTCTCACGACTGGGTTCCATCCTTTCTTCGGTGATCCAACGCACGAAACGATTTTGCAAAATTCTTGGAAGAATTGGAGGAACACCGGGACAAATTGGAATCATAAACTTGGAAGATCTGAGAGGACTCTACTTTTTAAAAATCCTTATTCAAGAGAGGAAGATCGTGGGAAGAAATTGGCCAGAAGGACGGAGGTAGTCGGGATTGTATAATCTGGAGACGATAAGAGGAAATTCCGGTGGAATTAAAACTAAAGAAAATTCCGAGCAAAACAGAAGCTTGTTGCAGTATTATCGTCGATCGGAATTAAAACGATCGCGTTAATGATCCGGCATTTTATCGTCGTTCAATAAATCAAGCTTATGACATTGGTTAGTCTCTGCAATCCATCGATAAATGTTATCGTTCTTGCTGCTATCAAACATCGTAGAAAGATAAAAAATAATAGCTCGAGGTTCGATTTCGAGTTCCGCAATTAAAGGAGGATCAGGAAGGAACTACTTGCGAGGAGTAACTCGAGGATGTGAACAAGTTGATCTTTGGAAAAGTATCGCATCGTTCGTTCAGCGTTTTGCCAAGGGACACCGACGTGTTTCCCTTCTTTTTTCCTTTCTTTGGAAATTCGGAATTCATCGTTCGAGGACACGCGTGAGTACATTTATGTTGAACGACATTCCGTGATTACGCTCGCGTGCAAAATCATTCCGCGTTGATAAACGGTGAACAGCGAACTGAAAACGTTTCGCGTTACGTAATTGAATGGACTTTCGACGCGGAACGGGATTAAGATACGTCCTCCTGATTTCGTTATCGGGGGTTTTAATGATGCCGAAACTGGATTCATCGTGTCGCGTGCAGATGTCCGATCGAATGTACATCGATCACTGATCGACGCTTGTGAAGCTACCTGTTGTAAACATTTCAACGTAAGTTGACGTTTAGGAGTATAGACACTTGGAGCTTTGAAGATTTTAGACGTGAGCTAAACAAAAATTTAATCACACGTTAATTAGCGATACGATTAGGGTAGATATTATTAATAGAATAACAATTAATCACATTATAATTTATCTTCTTCCTATAATTAACGATTTATTTAGTTAAAAATAATTCAATTGTTTGCAAAATTTAACACTTTTATTATTAAGGATGTTTGTGGTTGCTTAATGAGAAGCTATTATTGTTATTTTTTTTTCTTTTTTAATTCATAAGTGTTTATTGGATCGAAGTAAGGAAGAAATGCAAACGTTCTTCTTTTATTTATAATATTCATCGTAAATAATAAATTGTTATTTCATAATTTTTGAAATGTTACTGCCTTATTATCAGTTACAGTTATTAAAAATTGCTAAATTTATAGTTCATGATATAACATAAATTAAATAAGAAAAATCATTATTATTAAAATGTTTAGATATTGTTTATTAATAGTAACATCTAAGGTATGTCTATTTTGTAGATTTCAATTTGACAATTAAATTTTTCTTTAAAATAGTCGCTTTATCTATAACCAATCATGTTTTAAATAGAGAAATGTCTATATATGTCGGTGTATTTGTGATTACTTATCATGGTCAGGGAACCTTGAAGTTAACGAGGTACCGGTAGTAACGTAATGCAACTATACAAAGCGAAACCTTGCTGAAACACTTTCAAATCGCCTGTAAATAGCATTTGTAACAATTCTATGATGCGACAGATAGTGCACTTCCATAGTTCCTGAAAACGATTGTTTACCAAATCTATGTAGGAAATCGTTAAAGTGTCATTAAACAATGCATGATTTGCCTTTGTAGAAGTTACTTGCAAATTGCAAATATCTACAGTAAATTGTAGGTACAAATATTTGTATTTACTTAATCATTATAGTAATTGCTTGTGTGTCATACTCTTTTGAAAGAGATATCATGAAGCGAGTATTGAATTGAAATTAATAATTTTAATGCTACATTACGTTGAACTGGGATGAATCATGAAATTTGAATCATCAGTTTAATAACTTTAGGATGAAATAAAAGGTGGGGTGGTTGATAAAATATGATACCCTGAAAAACATTCTAAAACATGTACTGAAATAAGATGAATGTATCGAGTGTGTACAAAAAGACCGAAGAGCGTGTTATGACGGGGAACGATGATTGATGATTTTAAAATTCAATTTTCGTTTGTTTGCTTCGATTAACATCTTGCGGTTTAGTAAACGTGTTATAGTTAGCAGCGTGTCGAATCCGATAAGCGCTAATTCGTTAATTTGATCTGCAAACTTTTCGTGGAATTTATATTGTTTTGTGAATAACATTGTCAAAATTAATTTTCGAACTATACACAGAACTCAAAAGAATTATAAAATAAAACATAAAAATCATAAATTATTATTTCATATAATTTACAAATTTTCAAGTATTCAAATAGTAAAATTAAATGTATTTAATGCAATTTGCAAACTAATCACACTTTTATCATAAAAAATTCATTTACTGCAAAACTAGAGAACAATGCTCACAATTATTGATTATTATTTGTCATTTTCGATTAATGAACAGTAATTATTAACAATCATGTATAATTAGGAAGAAGAAAAAACTAATTATCTGCAGTTTTAAATTACTCAGAAAAGTTCAAAAGAATGAATATAAATATATTGTGCAGATCTATGACTCCGTTGTGTCATAGTAGATTTTCCTGGGCGTATCAGTCGCATAACAGCCGGCTGTACCGGAAATCAGCGATCCCGGCTCTCGTGAAACTATGTACGTGTCGACCGAATATTAAAGTGCACCTTTATCGAGGAATGCGGTTAACAGCTGATCGCATAGGGAAATGACGCGTTCAGAGGTAATTGAGTGTTGCATGATTACGTGCATCAATGCGCGACACGAAGTAATACTACCTTGCAATTCTTTTCACTTTTTTTTCATCCCGACATCTGTTATTAGGTGAAGTCTTGTTGAGTTTCGATCAGCATTTATTGCTGATTATGATATGATCCGAATAACTAGTGATCGTAGTTTACAACATTTTTTCCCTTCATTTTCGTTCTCGAGTAAACCATTAAATACAGTTCTGTTCAATTTCAATTCAATTTCGTTGCATTTCTGTGATTGCAGTTTGATTTTGGTCATGTATTTCATGGAATTAGATGAATTAACTGTCGGTTATAATGCAAAAATTTATATAATATTATAACACCAATGAAGTGCAAAAAAATAAATAATATTTTCTTTTCTTATCATTTTTCACGATAGCTCCGCTAAAAAACAGATTTGATTCAACTTTGCGACCACCTGTGAAAAGAAAAAACAAATGAAAACAACTTTTGTTTTACCAGCTTCTGAATAAAGAAATAAATTTTCTTTCACTCATGCGTTTCATATCATTGCCAACTTAGATATTATTTCAAGAGCCGTTTCAGACTTATCTTGTAAATCCATGCAATTATACACAGCTTACAAAGTATAAAGTACACAAGTTAGATATTAAATGCTGTTATAATGATCCGTTAATAAGAAGGCTTACAATGTGAAAACTATACTAATCCCTCGATTAAGTTTATCATGTAAGTAGATCAATCTTGATCCAAAAAATATGCTATCAAAGTGATTTCATTACAAATGTTATA